CACACACACACACACACACACACACACACACACACACACACACATCCAAGCCTGGTGGTGAAGGCGAGACTTTCACATGTGAGTCAAACGTCTGTAGTTTGGTCTGAGTTGGCGTGCTGGGCGGCGCTCATCTTGCTTTTTGCGGTTTTAGCTTGAATCTTCTCACAGTCTTGGATGAGTGACGTGTTGTTTGGTGCCCGGTTGTCCCAAACCGGATCTGCTGCCTCCGTTGTCCTCGCAGTCTGGTGCAATATGATTGGTTCTTGTGGTTCACATGAAGAAGTCAGTTCAGTTTAATGAGGTGTTTTTGGTTTGTATTTGGTTTAATCCCAGTCATCATTAACCTGTAGATGTCTGACCGTCACTAATTTCCACGTCTGAGGTTCATGAGTTATTCCTGGAAGTATCTGCAGAGAAACACTAATGTAACACGGCCCTGATGTAGAGTTCAGGCTATAATTCTCCAGTTTGAATTTTCATGACATCGAAGCTGCAGCAGGAACTCGTGTTGTCACCTAGACGACAAAAGTGTGAGACGGGAAAGTCGCAAAAATCTGTGTCAATGCTGGAAAAACACAACTACTCTTGTCCACGGTGACGTCACGCAGAGCATCGGCAGCTGCACGCGCTCAGATGTGAATCAGAAACATCACAGTCAGCTAGTCGAGGCACCCGGGGCTGAGACAGGAAGTCAGAGGGCGGCGGTGTCAGTGCGGCAAAGCTCGTGACCCGGGCCCACCGCTCTGTTGTTGGGTCATTGATGTGGTTTGATCTTGATTGGTGTGATGTTGGTCTGTTTGGTGTTCTGGGCTCGTGTGGGTTCATCCCTGTGCTGGTGGTGCGTTCAGGTGTTTCGTGGACACGTGTTTTCACCTGGTCTGGACGTGTCACAGCAGGCGCCGCCGTAGTCCTGCTCGGCCTGTCGTGTGTTCGGGGCAGTGATGCTTGCTGGGATGTTTCTGGGTGGTGCAGGCTCGGTGCAGGTTGTTGTTTCTGAGCCTGGGGTGCAAATAAGACTGAAAGCGGACAGTTTGGACACGCCGGCTTCGGGGACACTTTTCCTTCATACCAGCTGCTGCTGGATGAAGAGCATGGCGGGCAAACCCTTCCTGTTTCGTTTCACCACAGACGGTTCCTCTTTGGCAGTCGGAGAGTCTGTCAGGGCGAGGACGAACTGTGCCCCGCCCCCTTCTCCCCCGATGGGGGGGCGCTCACGGTGAGACTCGATGGCCTGTTTCTGTGTTTGTGCTGTCAGTGTGGTTTGGTTCAGCATCCCGGGGAGTTTGACGGCTCTCTGCAGGTTGGTGAAATATTCTCCTCTGCTTTAAATGTGTTTGCAGCCCAACAGCCAAGTTTGTTCTTCAGCCTTTTAGTCCCAGAGCTGTAAAAATAAAGAGTAAATAAGCTGAGAGACGAGTACGAACAGAAGAATCATCACCGACTGCTGCAGCTGTAACAACAGCAGTGTGTGTGTGGGGCTACAGCGACGCCCCCCAGGATCCAGAGGAGATGATGGATCATCCACGGCCCCCCAAGATTGACGAAGACTTGAGTCCACACGC